CATCAATATACGATACATAGATACACAATCATGGGTCATGTAGTGAGTATAAAGACAGGTTTATTTCATCATTACCCTTAATTGGTGAGCCTCATCAATTAGCTATCCAAGTAGACACAATTTGAACATCATGGACACTCGAAACATTAGGTTTTTCAATAACAACTTCTCTTTATGAACGGGACTTTTGGATTTGGGTTTTGAATAGACAAATAAAATCTGAATTCGTTCTCTACCTTTAGAGGGGTAGTTCTTTACAGAATATATGTTCTCTAGGCATATTACTATACGTTCGTTTTTATACAGCCAAAGAAAGGATGGATGTGTGAATTCTAAGTAAACTAATACTATATTTCTAGGATATATAATGTTGTAAAGTAAAATTATATCGATTAGTTTAAGTTTAATATAGATTCATACAAAAGGTATTTACGAGCAATGTCCAAAAAAGGCTATTTGAAATTATATGCCTTAATAACAAAATCCTTGTTTTATCAATGGTAATAACAACACATTTCTGAGCGGTTCCATATACATAGACCAAAGTTCATTAGTATTAAGTTTATTTAATTATTTCCTTACAGCTATAGCATAGTTGAAATATTTTTACCACAACATTTTAATACGATTAAAAGATTTTGTGATCTTATTTACAATAAAAATGAATATTTCAATGTTTTTCATCCGTAATACTGGCTTACGTTCCAAATAAAGCACGTTATTATTGGCCGATTTATTCACTTTCACGCCAAACTTTCACACCATATAATCTTGGCATTAATTTTGAATTGGATTGTGAAAGATGTTTCGTGTTAGAAATGTACGGGATTGACTTTTAATTATTTAAATTATCACTCTTGATAAGAAAACTGTATGTAATTTTTGAGACAGAAAGTCGCCATTACTTTGAAATGATTTTTATCCCTCTTAATATCATGAAATATCTCAGATTGCTTTATAAGCAAACAAAAATACATTGGCAATATTATTCAAAGCACATAAGACTCATCCTGTTTCAAGGTAATCACGTGACTGCGATCTTAATTCGTTTGCACCTGTAGGTCTCTATCAGTATTAATTAACACCAGAGAGAGTATAATGAGAAGGAGCAGCGTCAAATACGTGGCAGTTATTGGCTTAAAATACACATTTTTAGAATTTAAAATTGCTCGGTTTAATCTGTTTAAATACATCATTTAAATAGATTACGACAATAATTCTCCGTGGGTGACAACCATAGCATCTGCTTTATCTCGAGAACTAAATCATTTGGACAAAATAGCATAGTACAAGGGGCGCAACTCCTACAGCACATGTACCTTCTCAAACAAAAATCCCATATCCATTTTAAAAAATAATGACTTTAATAGCCTGAATATAATGATAAATGATATAGAAGAATTAACTGAGTCGAGAAGTATGCTAATAAAGATATTGTAGAGGCTGTTACAACGATATCAAACCAAGTACATATGTTTATTAAACCAAGTACATATGTTTTACCCTCAGAGACAATACCATAATGTCATGGTTTTTTTCCATTGTATTTAAATTGTGATATTTGAGATATAATAAAGTTTAGTTTTTGCATAGCCTATATCTGGTATGTAAAGGTATGGATTGTTGTTTATTTACCTCTACCTCTTCGCCTGGTTGAGGTGATTTATTGATCGAATGTTACAATAACACGCCTACAGTATTATATGTGTAGCGGGTGGCGTTGTGTCAAAATAAAACCAAAACCGCTGGGTTCGTTCGATGTTTAACAGAGGTAAGATAGACATTCTGGAATATACAATAAAACATATTCAAATACTCTCACAACTCCACAAATCTCTCGTTACATATTCCACAATTTATACTCTTTCATTAACACATTACATTTTACCGAGTGAAATGATATTAATACTTTTATATTTGAATAAAATACGAGATCCAATAAAATACTTTATAACATGACTATTCCAATAGTTATTAAGTAAAATCACACTTACAACACGTATCGTGCGCTAACGTACAAGTCATGTATAAGTTTGCAACACTCCACAATATCACCTCATCCGTCATTTATAGTACAACTACAAATAAGAAATAACCTCTTATTCAATTTACAGAATATTTCAAGCAAGAAATGCATAACACTTACACATTCGTAAAGTTTTGTATATTTTCTCACACGTTTTAAAGGTTGTCGTCTATCATACTCCTTCGATTTTGTGTACAGTTTTCAATGTTATATTTGTGAATTTTTATGTCTGGTCATGAAAATTGTTAGATGTCTTCGCCTGCAGTTTAGTACTTTTGATATATTATTTAAATAAAAAATAAAAAAATACTTATGGGCTTGTCCGGGATTCGAACCCGGGACCTCTCGCACCCAAAGCGAGAATCATACCCCTAGACCAACAAGCCGCTATAGTTACTTGGGATTTAAAACCAAATTATGCCTAAATGCTATCTCTGCCACGTCACTTCCGTTTTAACATGAATGATGCACGCACTTTACTTAGTAAGTTATGTTTACAGACAAAGATCTCTAAAATGTCCATATAGTGTAGGTATGCCGCTTACGGTTTGAAAATAGTTATCAAAGCTTTTAAAACTAATTTTGATCCAACATGTTGATGCAGTACAGCATTATAGCGTATTTATATATTAACAATAAAAATTGAGGCGACGTCCACGCCGTTATATCTATATCAACTTACAACACTGACGTTCTTAATGATTATTTGAATTGTTATTGTCATGAATTCTTTACCTGGAAAGCGCATGTTACATATTGTATGTCTGAAACCAGGAAAATTTAACAATATAGCCGACATTTTCCCTAATTATCTGTCCTGTAGTTTATAAAGTATATTTCCGGCTGTCATATGTATGGCTCGTTGGTCTAGGGGTATGATTCTCGCTTAGGGTGCGAGAGGTCCCGGGTTCGAATCCCGGACGAGCCCCACTTTTGTGATTTTTATTTTTTTTTTAAATAATTTATTGAAAGTGATCAGTGTATGTTCAAACATTATTTGTAATCATTAATATGAAAAGCACAAGATGTAAATGTTAGCGTCCATATATTTGATAAATGTTTAGTATCTTTTCAACATGGTTGTGATGATATTGGTCTGATCTATAAAACCGATTAGGTCTTTAATACCTTTGTAATGTTAGATCACTTTACTAACACATCTCATTATAACAGTAACACCACTGGTCATATCTATAGTATTACTGATAGTTAATTTCAATTAACAGTGAATTTATCATAAACAAATACTATAGCATAACTGGTATAGTATATATACATAAAACTGAAAACTGAAATAAAATTTTGTATTTTGTTATTACAGTATTGACATTGAACACTAAATTAGTGTCATTATAAAATATTTACAATCATATAGATGAGTAAGATTTTCTAAAGCTTTTCCAGTAAGTAAACACAGCGAGAAAAACAATTTTAAATTAAAAAATCGATATTAAAAAAAAAAATCCGATATTTAAATATAACCATATCACCTATCGTACGTCATTCTATTTTTATTAAGGATATATTGTGTTCATATTAATAATTGATACAATATGACCGACGTTCAATAGGTATAGTGACAGATGACTTATGATATCATATATATTATATAGTCTTATACCAGCACCTCGGGTCATTTTTATAGCAAGTAAAGACATGATATATATATAATACAACTTTACTAATTACATCTGTTGTTTTAACAGCGTTTTTCATTTTAATCACTAACTTTTATGCTGATAGCACTATTTATCACAAAATCTACAAATCATCCATTCGTCCATGTGATATTTTTGCGTATTGTATTGTGATGTCATAAGTACGACAAGGATCATAAAAATAAAAACAATTGAATTATCATTAAAACCGTGCTACATTTAATGTGCATGTCTATTATTAATGTATTGCTATGTAAGGTTATTTATATGACTAACATTTTGTTACATAAGGATGTTTGTAGATTTGAAATTTCTATAACACAACCAGTAAAATATTTCACAGTGTGACATGTCAATGACTACAGGTCTCTTTCATCATACAAAGGACCCGTGTAGATTTTGCGCTCCGATCCAGAGATTTTTTTTTTTTTTTTTGCCTTCTTTGGATTCCGTGTCTTTCTGATGCTCACGCAGTTAGACTTCTAATCTCCTGCCCGTTTTTTCGATATACAAGGCGTCGCAGTTTTTTATTATTCTGTATACACGTTCTGCGACGATCTCTCTGGGTGTTGATCATTGGGATGGGCTATGATATTTCGGAACGTCTTGTGAGATTTCATGCCTATTGAATACTATGACTACGATTAATCTTCTGAATGGTTACTGACAAGCCTTTAATGTAAGGGATGACATCTTGTCCTAACTTTTTGTTCTTTCCTTCAGTGTGTCGTATTTTCAAATTGGTTTTAACTTTCTGGGTTGCCCAACCAGGGTATCCACATGTTTTTCATGGTACTATGTGTGTGCTTTTGTACTAGATTCACTCATTGCTATTATCTTGTGTATTCAGGTTTGGTCTATTATATGTTAACCATCTCGTCACACTATTTTCGATCTTAGTAAACAAAGGATAATAGTAGAGTTAGAAAAAAAATCGTCGATTTCTGAACAACTTCACTAAATTCACTTGAACGGAGCGAAAATAGTCAGCACTTCAGTGCTAGTACACCACTGATATTGCTATTATTGACATAATGTCATATTTACCCTTACGTTTTGTGGGTTTTTTTTCCCTAAATGACGCTTTGTAACTATCGTGGCTTACCAGTGTATACCATTATTATAAAGGCCGGTTTTAAAACGTGGTTTAAATGTGAACTTATAATGTGGATTGAATATGGCGCCGATATCTTGTGAATTAAATAGGACAATTTTGTTACCCCAAGCAGTAGAGAACTGTTATTTTTCTCAACATAAATAGTGTCAAAAATTTATTGTTATTTTGTATATAATAACAAGTAATAACAAAAATTCGGCTATCGTCTTCGTCCTCCAAAGTTGGCGTTAATGGCATTAGGGTCAAAGCTTCCTCCTGCGCTTGCGCCACCGGAACTACTGCTACCAAATCCACTTCCGCCAAATCCACCAGTGCTACTGCTGCTATCACCACCGGAACTACTGTAAAGTATATGAATAAGATTAGTATAAGGTAAGGATAAAGCAACGAGAACCCCCGCTCCCATCTCCACAAACTTTGGCAGTTGCAAGTTGGTAATATGGATGGAATAGCCAACTTACCAATCAAAAATGGTCTGATATCATAACCAGTTTGAAATTTCATGTTTAACGAGCATGTTACCACTGCGCCACCATAGTGTATTTGGTGGTAACAGTGTACTATCCCAGGGAAGACGAATTGCCTATACAGTGTTTAAAACCAGGTCATACTTCACACTTTTTTCTGACTTATTGTGATATAATCAGGACTGCTTTTGAATCTACTTTCACCAAACTGCTTCCGCTTCTGCTGTCATCAAAATTACAACACAACTTAATGATAAATTATTCACTATGAAAATCATCGCACCTGCTCCCAAATCCACTTCCACCAAACCCACCAGTACTACCACTGGAACTACTGCCAAATCCACTTCCACCAAACCCGCCACTACTGCCACTGTCTCCGCCAGAACTGCTGCCGAATCCACTTCCGCCGAAACCACCACTACTACCACTGGAACTGCTGCCAAATCCACTTCCGCCGAAACCACCACTACTACCACTGGAACTGCTGCCAAATCCGCTTCCACCAAAACCGCCACTACTACCACTGTCTCCGCCGGAACTGCTGCCGAATCCACTTCCGCCGAAACCACCACTACTTCCACTGGAACTGCTGCCAAAACCACTTCCACCAAACCCACCACTACTGCCACTGTCACCACCAGAACTGCTGCCAAATCCACTTCCGCCGAAACCACCACTACTTCCACTGGAACTGCTGCCAAATCCACTTCCACCAAAACCACCACTACTGCCACTGTCTCCGCCAGAACTGCTGCCAAATCCACTTCCGCCGAAACCACCACTACTACCACTGGAACTGCTGCCAAATCCACTCCCGCCAAATCCACCACTACTGCCGCTGCTAGATCCACTGCTGTAACCGAAAATGATGAACTATTATCCAAAAACGTTACTCACTTTCAACATTTAATATTTCATTTGTCGCTTCCTTTTTCCTGAACTTTCTGGTTTTTTTTGTTTTTTTTTTTTAACAATATTAATGGTGAATAATCTGAGATGTATAACAAACCTGCTTCCGAAATTCAAGGCGTTTGGATCAAAACTTCCTCCGCCAGTGCCACTGCCTCCAGTACCAGAACTACTACCAAATCCACTTCCTCCAAATGCCCCGGAACTACCTCCACTTGAGCTAATGGTGTTAGGCGTAAACGGATGAAAACAAAAACATCATCTGTTAAATTGAAACTCAACAGACTTAGCCACACTCAACTCCGTAGGCGACAGACACATCTATGGACAATTATGAATTATAATTCACAAACCTGCTGCCAAATCCACCACTTGTATCGAACCCACCGGAACTACCTCCACTGCTGCTGCCAAATCCACCACTTGTATCGAACCCACCGGAACTACCTCCACTGCTGCTGCCAAATCCACCGCCACTGCTTCCGAAGTTTGCATTTATTTTATTTGGGTCAAAGCTGGCCCCATCACCGGAACCTCCACTTGTGGCGCCACCGCTGCTGCCACCATTTGAACCAAAGGCCATCGCATTGGGATCGAAGGTCCCGCCTTGGCATCAAGAACCACTTATGTATTGTTTGTTTATCTGGTTTTGATCTCATTTCGTACGATGATGATCTTTATTTTAATTCGGTTGAATCGTCCTTAATCTTGCGCTAGTAATATTTCCACATAAAAATAGGAGCAGAATCATATTTATACTGTATCAAAAAGATGAGAATTGAATTGCATTTTTCCGCGTTTACGGCTGTATGAACGCAATAGGATAAATGAATGATAATGTTAAATAAATTAATATCAGACAGGACATATATATGTTGTGGTAGGGTAAGTCTGCAATATTTACCATCTGAAACGACGACAGCTGGCAGTAAGAGGAGAGATAGGCAGACCCACACGTTCATGATGAACTATTTGGCACGGACTGTCCAGTTCGGGGAAGGTCAGTTCTATAAGAGGTGTTAGATTGATCAACAGATAAGGTCAATAGGACGCATGACCATTATATAACACCAAGACGTATTTCGTGAGACATAGGATTGTTTCTGTGTTTAAGATAACGCAATTCAGTAGTCTTTGGGTAGTTAAAACCACATTATAGAAATCTTTGATATACCTCTGTCCTTAAGTCAAGGTCAGATATATAGGTATTGGTGTTTGTACAGGTTTTAAAAAGTCCAATTAAGACCACAAGGTGTTGCTAGGTTATGTCCAGAACTTGATGTATAACTATACAAGTAATGTTGTCCGCGCACTTTAATAATATTACGCATAAAAAGAAACAATGACAAAAACAAATTGAAGCAAAACAAAACAACTTGATGTTGCAAGTCTGTAACAAATAGACTATGTTAACTTGACTGGTGCCCCGAAAATCCAAACATTTCATGGCATTGAGAAGTATACGATCTAATACATTAAAGTTAGGCCCAATATATACAGTCGACATGTTTTCTATCCTATATTGTATTACATTAATACGTTTTATGTTTATCATTATTCTTTTGTTTAACTTGTTGTCATGTTGTTACAAAAGCCAGGAATGTCATTATATAACTCTACGGAATTCGGGTATAGCTGTGAAATGTTTATTACAACAAATTCTAACATACATATCTAATGTACATTTTCTAATATTCTAAATACTTAAAAAAATTGTAAAGCTTCAGTTGTAACAATAGCCATTTCAGTCATTACACGCTTGTAATTTTCGGTAAATAATTTATAAAACTGAAGAGTATAGATCTGATTGAAGTGACCAAAAACTTATTTACACCAAACCGAAATAGTGGTAGACAATGTTAAAGGATTTTAGTCACCAAAGTACTGGGCTATTCTGCTTTGACGTGCATGTCACGTTTAAAACCATTTGAATGTTGTGGCGCGGTTAAAAATATACACACGCACTTTGGGTTGTTCTTAAATTATCAGCTACATTTCTGTATGAAAATTTAGAATTATTGAATTATTGGGTTCTTGCGCCTCCCCATCTAAATTTTGACATTTCTTTCAATCACTTTGGATTTTCCTCAGTATCATTCTAGGCCTCATAATTAGGTCATTTGCGTCACTGACTTGCTCTAAAGGACGAAACAACGGTATGTCGTAGTAGGTGCTATTGTGCGTCTACCGTGCAATGGGAAATAACTCTTATAAACAATCGCGATGATCGTTAGCTCTTCTGGCAAGGAGGTAGAAAAGCCATTCTCGTTTTAACTAGAATCATCTCCTGAAACATAAAACACGTTGCATTGAAAGAAAAGGAAAGGTAAATATAGATATTTATTGTAGTGATTTGATTTCATATTTTGATTAATGCCGATACTCCGGAGAAGCATTTTGTGTCACATTATGTTTCTCTGAAATAATACACTTACGTTTTTAAGCTGATTTTCTAATTCAGCCATCACGCCTCTTTCTAAACTGTAACGTTCAAGATCGGCTAATATTTAATTTTGTGGCAACAATGACATTAGCATATGTGCTATTGCATCCAATATAAAGGCTATTGGTGAAATATGTTAGGCATATCTTTATTGCTCACTCTTCGTTGAAAACCAGCTGAACTGCTGAAGGCATTCCCATCTTCAGGTACTGAAGCACCGGCAAATCTGGCTATATGAATTTATAGGCAGATTTGACTATATAGCCCAATCTGTTTCTACGTATATAGGGCAAATGTAAACAATCAGGTAAGATTCGGTCACGTTTCTTTCATGCATATCGAAGAAATGATGAATCACGTAAGTCATATTTTCAGTGTCCATGTACGCTCACTGCAGAAAAGCGTCCATTTGATGCAGATTTGGGTCACAGGTATGCTTCAGTATGATGTTTCCATACAAAACATTTATGATCTGCAATGAATGTGAATTGTGTGGTGAAAGCAAGTGAAATATAAGGTGTTTTGATCATGATTTAAGGAAATTTTATGTCTCACCATTGGAGCATGTGGATAAAGGGATGAAAGTAACAAAAATTGCAATGACAAAATTCAATCAACTCAATGAAAATGATGTCCTGTAACAAATCACTACATTTGTGGTCCATTTTTTCAATGTGAACACCATGGTCGCAACCAGGTATGGCTCATTTCTTTACATTTGCCATTGTAATAAGAGCGGGTTGGTGTGGCTGGTATATAGTGTTAAATACAGTCTCTGTCACTCAGCTGAAGGAGTATGCTTTGGCTCAGTTGATAGAGCTGATGAATTATCACACCAGAGACATGAGTTTGATTCTTCATCAGGTCGTTTGACAGGAATGTGTATTTTACCTATTCTTTTGCATTGGCACCCAATGAAATCCTACAAGTTGGGGTATGTGGAGTCGTGGGTTGAGACTTAGGAAATCTGAAGAAAAATAGGGGAGTAGTATAAAAGATGTGGGTTAGTGTGACTGGTATATATTGTTAAATATGGTCTCAGCTGAAGGAGCATGCTTCTTTGACTCAGTTGATAGAGTTGATCAATTATCATGCCACAGACTGGGGTTTGATATCTGGTCGGGACACTTGACAGGAATGTGTATTTTCCCTGTGCTTTCACACCATATATATGTATAGTCAGATTTTACTATATAGCCAGATTTGCCAGCACTTCAGTACCTGATCATGATAGATCAGTCACACAAATCAAAGACTTAGATGTAAAAATGATATTTATGTCCATACACAATAAAAGCACAAATAATTCAGCATAAAAGCATACAGTAAAGAAATATCTTGTATTTACAGGATAAGGAAACACTGTTGTTATTTCTTAATATTTAACTGCTTTCTTGTATTGTGTGTGGAAGTTAAATATTGTTGAAAAGATAACTAAACAAAAAACATTAGAGTGCTTAAGTGATCTGTCTCAGAATTTGGCTCATTGAAACTTTCTGCAGAATGGACTATGATTGAACTAACCACTTATTGATATATTAAAAAGTATCCTGACCTACAAAATATCGTACAAGCATAGATGTAGAAATAAAATCACCAAATGGTTCAAATAATTAAACCAAACTAAACAAACATTGGAAATTTTAAACAAGACATTGAAAACTCCTCAGAAAAAAGGAGATTTTCATTTTCAACAATAGAAATAAAAGCATATCTAATTTCTAATTATCTAATTTCTGCTCTGAAGTGTGGAAAATATGAATAGATAGTTATAATGTGGAATAGAAATATACAAAAAATAAAAATGGAACAGAGAAAATTTATACCAAGACAGGTAATATTGGTTGCCAGTGTGAGCATTACCAAGTATGTTTTGCATTCAATATGGTGTCTTGTTGACATACTGATGTGTCAACAGGTGTCTGTAGTTCGAAAAAAAATATGCAAAACATGAGAAAAAAAATTATGGTAGAAAATGGAACTAATTTTATTTTTGTTTAAAACACTTGATGGAAGTTTCAAAACTGCATTTTGAACTCAACCTTTTACATTTTCGACTTCGGTACTTTTGATTTATTCTGGAATTGGTTATCCTGGTAACATAAAAGTGATCTAACATCATAGTTATATCTGGTATCACATTATGTATATATCATGCATTTTACATCAGTGTGAGTTGAACATGTCTTTCTTATTGAAATTAATCTAACCTTTATCACTGGACACTGAGGTTAAAGCATTTAGATATAAACTTTGAAGACCCTTAAAGCTTTTGCCACATGCAAGTTTACATGTCATTACAAGACAGTCATCACATCAATGCAAATATAAATCTATAATTCATCATGAATGTCAAAAATTGATTTTCAAGATGACACCATTTTGTGGGAAAATCAAATTGGCATTAGTTTTATATACTTGACATAACAATACATTTTTTTTAGATAATGATATCATGTTTTTGATGTTTTTTTTTTTGTTTTTCCCCAGATGGCAGAAAATGGCAGTGGTGATGGCCTTTATACAAATAGTGATAACCAGACTCCTCCTACACCTCCTCCTCCTCCACAGAGTGTTATGGTGAGTGAGGATGGTAGACTCAACTGCACCTTAACCAAAGATAAATTAAAAGACATTGTCATTGTATTACTGTGGATGTAAGCAAGTCAAATTGAATGAAAATATTATCTTCAGTATCTTACCTTGTATATCAGCATCGCAAGAATTAGAAACTTCTGTCAGCAACTTTTCAATATTGTTTGAACAGTTCAAATTGGTGAGTAGTTTGAACACAGAATTTTATTGATATATATGATTTTTTGGTGAGCGATAGTTCAAACTCCTTCCAACTTACCATGGGAATTGTTCAAATATGTCATGATATTGAATGCATACCTAAGAGTTATCTTTCTTCTATAGGGCTTTATGTTGTCCAACAAGGTGGAGGCTGGATTGTGGCTGACTCGCCTCTTCACTGTTATCTGCACCTTCTTTTTCTTTATTCCAGTAATCGGGTAAGATGACTGTATAATATTGTGTGAGAAAAAACTGTAACATTTCCATGTTTGATACTGCTATAGACTTTACTAGAACTAAAAGTCATTTCAATGAAAACTGAGTATATGACTGATAAGATTCCGACTAACAATAAATCATTTGTACCCTGCATTTAATTAATATTTATTCCCACAGGAGTGGTCCTCATGGTTTCTACCAGAGGGCTCTAATCAGTAATGCAGCTACCAGTGCCCTGCGTCTACACCAGCGAATACCAAATGTCCAGTTGAACATGGCTTTCCTGAAGACCATAATGATGGAGGACAGTGGCCACTATCTCTTCTTCTCTCTCATCTTCCTCAACAGTTACCCGATCACCAGTATCCTTCACAATTGTCCAGCCTTGTCTTGATTTCTGAAATAAAACACAAGGAATAGGATTTATATGTAGCTGGTGATTAAGTAACAATAAAAAGATCAATTGATATTACAAAGTATGTCAGGATTTGGGGATAGACTTTTAGATGTTATGAATGAATGGTACACATAGAAAAAATCATTTGTAAGATTTAAAATGAGGTTTCTGTGGAGTTTTGATATTTTTTTTCACAATTCAAATGATAAAAATATTGTCTGCATTCTCCAAATTAAAAATATTTTATATCCTTTTATTAAGGTTAAACATACCTATTCGGTTTAATGTATCTTCATCATTACCAGTATATATACTGTAAAAAGTTTTGTATTTCTAGGGGATTTATTTTCATTAAAGTCACCGATAATACTAATCAACAAATTCATATTCCGACAAACTGTTAAAATTAGTGTAGGTAGATTTTATGAGTTACTATTATACACAAAATCAACTGTCCACAAAATAGCAATTTTTATGGAAAACCACGAAATTTGAGCCCCACCAAAATATTCATGATTTTACAGAACCAATATGAAATTTTTTGTAATTTTCTACAAACCTATTTTTTGTGAATTACATATATTTATTTTTGTAATTTTGTATTTTAAAATGTAATTAAAACAAAAGCAAAGACACAATAATCCTACTCTTTTATAGGTGATGTTTTATATATAGATAATATCAAAATAATTAGTATCAAAGTGATAAAAGAAAAGTTTTCATGACGCTCATCTAATAACTTGTTTTATTGTAGGTTATTTAAGTAATACAATGTATAACATGATATGGACATTTGTTTGTGTTATATATATCTGCTTTACAATCAAAACTAAATATCTATATATTTATCTAGCAATGGTGTAGTCAACCTATTAAAAAGTAACGTAGTCAACCTATTAACAAGTAAACAGTAATGCTTAAAAAAGCCAAAAATTGATCAATTTTATTTGGGAAAATTACACCCGTACTCCTTTCATTAAAATAAATTACATTATAGTTTCAAGTAAGTGAAATCAATGTGATCTTTCTGAATTGAAGTCATTGAATGAGAAATACTTCCTTAACTTTTTCTCAGTGGCACTAATGCCAGTGTTTCTGTATGCATTGCTTCATGCCTGCAATTACACAAAGGCTGTTCTTAATGTAAGTAGTTATTTACAAAGAACTATGCAACAGATATATGGTTCCTATTCTAGAATAATGATGTTCCCAAGTTTTTCCCAAATGCCTACTTATTTAATCTTTGATAGGAATATTTCTTAGCTGGCATAAAAGAAAACGTTTTTGTGCATAGCACATTCATGATGAGTTTGCAAAAAGGTTTTTCTTTCCTACCAGCATGAAACTAAGAATTATTTCTATCAAAACTCAAAATGGATTTCTTTGGTAGGTTTCAATAACAAAAATAACACATCAATGTATATATTTGATAATTTAATGACAGATTATTTTATAACAAGTCATAATGTAAAACAGCTGGCATGACATGACATGATGTCACTGACAGCTAATTTGTGCATTTTCAGTCATTCAAAATTCCAATTAAACATGTGTTAAAGCATGAAATAACATATTTTTCTCCCTGATCAATTCCTTTTTCCTTGTTGTTACTTGTTTGTATGCATTGTAAGATATTTGAATACTTTATGATGTTTTAGTCTGTTTTTTGCTTACATCATTGAATGACAGTGATCTACACACTTGGTGAATGTAAACAGATATTCCATTCATACAAAAAAGAAGTTCCAACAGACCAGCCACAAAGTGGCGTGTTGTCATTGACTCCTCAAATCATTGTCAATTGGAAAGAGCTGGGGTTTTTTTTGTCAAGAAATGAAAAGAAAAAATTGATTAATCAGAAAGCTGTGTTTTACATACAAACAACAAAAAATTAACTGTATGAATTCCAAAAGAATTCTATAAACATATCACATTTTTACATATCTTGGACTGTTTTACATTCGATATTATGCTGATTCCTCTAGCATTTTTGGTCATTTTGATTTTGATCTGCATAAAGAAGAGCTTTAGTTTTGAACTTTGATGATAAATCTGCAATATATTTTACAGATAATGGGTCCAACCTTTCTCCAGTTTGTAAGGAATCTGATCCAAAAGCTACAAAGTCAACAAGTCAGTGTTTTGCGCTTTGTAGCTTGTACAGAGATATTCATCATGCCCACCATTGTCTTCATGATGCTTTCGTGAGTCAACAGTCTTATCATTATTATAGAGCCTGCATCCTTGAAAACCTTGTATAAAAGATATCTATGAACCCCACAATGGATTTGGTTCATATTTACAACAGCATAATACTACTGATATTTTAACCAGGTCAGATATTTGTGGTTATTTGTAAAGGTGAAAGGTCAAAGGACACACTTGATTTTTTCTTTTATCCAGAATTGGGAGATGGGGATATATGTGAGCCCCTGCTGATTTTCATTTTATTGACATAACTTTTGGCATAGGGAATATATGTTAAGAAATATTTGCTGAAACATTTAAATTCCTAGCATTGAATTCAGAAATCAAGAAATACTACACAATTTATCATCAAACACTATCACAATTTGATGTACAAGAAAAAGTGTACATCTGTTGCTATGAGATCTTTACAATTACATGTATACTTAAGTAGATCGTGTTCATGTTGTATTTTACAGATATGTGTATATAGATTTATCTCGAATATATTTCTGTTACAGAGGTAGATGCAGTTTATTTCTGCCAATCATTTACTATAGATTCCTTATCCTGAGATATTCATCTCGTAGAAACCCTTACTGCAGGTAAGTGGCATCTTCTAATTGAAAAAAATAGATAGGTTCCTTTAACGATATTTTTTAGCACAGTGGTTCAGTGTAGAAATGTTGCCAAGAAATCATAGTGGAAAGAAAGTGACTTTGTAAAAATAAAAGGGTTACTTAATGAATAACACATATTTGTATGGTAGTTGTATCTGTTCTTGTGCCTCGAGTTCCCGTGGGTTATATACACGAAGGCTTCATAAAGATTATGTTGTTATCAAGGCAACCTTGGTCTGAATGTCTGAAGGTCACATGAGTATTTTCTGATTTTTGGGATACCTGCCTTCTTGCTGAAGAGTTTCTTGAATACATATATACATGTCTTTTACTTATAGTCATTTCCACAAGCTCAGTGTTAATGACTACTAGATTTTGTGTCAGGATTAAAGTCAATTTCAGGATCCATTGCAATTTATAGGTTCAGTTACTGAAAGTGTGTAACATTCTTCTATAAACTAATACTTTAAAACTGAGATTTCACATCTATCATAAAGTCATGCACGAGAGGTACTGATAGTTAACATTATGAGAATTATTTAAGAATACTGCATTTTCATTAATGGAGTATATTATTCCCAGTCTAGATTTACCTTTGAGTGTTGGGTAATGGGACAATGTATATTGGTGCCTTATATTGAGTGATCAGTGGATTAGGGACGAAGCTATGTCTGTCATCAATAATGATATGATATAGTCAATCGGCGACCTGTTTTTTGTAAATGACATTGACCTCTTTACATGTCAAGAATGAAACAAACACTATTCCAGTCGTCAAAGACACAGTGCACAGTTTCAAACGTTTTCCTGTCACCTCAAGCTCAAAGGTGAATCTGGACTGGGTGTAATTGTTATGAAATTGAATACCAGGTTATATGAGATGATGTGAAAATTTTTTTCATTTGTTATTCCTAGGACGCTGTTCTCAGAGATGCGAATGACAGTAGAGTATCTTACCAACAAGCCCCAGTGCCCAGGTATTGTGAGGACACTATGTAACAAAAGTATAGCCCTTATCTACCGTCTCGCTCCCCAGATGTGAACACACCATATCTCTTTAGTGCATGCAAGAAATTTTCTAGATGGATGAAAGAAAAATGATCTAGAAGTGGTGTAAAAGGAAGTTCTTGGCAGGTGAATGATTTAAATGTGATAAATATTTATAAAATAAGTGGAAAATTAAGTACATAACTCGGAATAGATGAGATGTCAGTTGTTTGTGTATACCAGTTTGTATGAACCGGATAATCTCTATCACTTACAGTAAATATTAAAGTATTTCTCATTTTAACTTGAAAGATTTCAATATAGATCTTGATATAAAGAGATGCTCTAAATTAGATAAAAGTTTAGATTTAAAAATTTCAGCTTTTTGACTGATTTCAACCTTTTCCAGTATTGAAGTATAATGTAAAATCAAAATTTTGTGCTTTTGAAAGAACTAAATATCCATGTTCAAGCCAATTTTCTATTTAGGATGTAATATAAAAACACAAAGTTTCAGCAACAGCCATTGACTCTTGTTAATTGATCTTAAAATTTTCTAAATTATTTTGTAGTTTTCTCTTGAGGTAACCACTAAAATAAATTGAATCTCTGCAGTTTATGTTAATATTGCTCAGTTTTAATGTTTGTGAAAACATACTCCATAACAAAGTTATTTGCCTCTGATAATCTAGGCTGTTCATTTCTAAACATTTTAATAAATGGTTTCAAATGTATTTAACATACACCATATAATAATTGTATCTAATTTCTGTAATTATTTAAGATTTGAAAAATTTGGCGCAGTTTTTCTCCATACATTCCTGTCCAACCTTCATCACAAAAAAAATCATTCACTCTTGTACTCACAGAATGGTATTATCTCCCCTTCATGTTTACAGATTTTGAAACCAAACATTTAAAATATCTTTTCAAAATGAATAGATGTTCTTTCATTCATAACCAGGGAATATTTCACCTTAATTTGTGGAGGATTTTGTGTAAAAATCTTCACCATATTTATTCAGTTTAAAATGATAATTTACATTTGTATAGAATTTGTATCTCTAATATATTCCTGAACAAGGAAACTTTATGTTTCTTTAAATTTTAATTGTTTATTTGTGATTTGTGTGAATATTCTTATACTTTTCAGTGTATTTAGAACTTTTTGTGTAATCCTTCAGAATTATTTCAGTACTAATCATATGCTCTGTTCTATTTACTTAACATGAGTTTATCATGTGACAATTACATTTACTGAGTGTGGTGTGTCTGAAATATTAAAGTAAGCAGTTAATCTGATGACCTGATGTAATATCCTCAATGAGTTTTGCCAGGCTGTTACAGGAATCCTATCTGATGGATACATTTATCACAGCATGTATACTGTACTTGATACACCTGAGCAATGAGATGAACACACTGCCACTGTCAGATATGATTTTTTGGGGCAAGATACCTTTTGACAGGTAATACATCATTTTCAAAATCAAACACTTGTATTGTAATATTTTCATTAAAATTTTTGAAAAAAATAGAAGAAAAAACAGTAGTAAGTATCATTGGGATAGCTTATTTTAGATCAAGATACATTTTAAACTGGTCTACCAAACACAGGAGCAACATTTGAAACATAGCAATTTTTTCTATGATTTTTAACATTTATCAGAAACTAATTGGAATGTGTGTCACCATCCAATTGGAATCACATCACATGTGATCAATAATTATGGATGAACTGTTTCATTCAGAAAATATTCATGTTTAGTAATATAATGTACAGTATTAGGTTTCCTGCTTTCATCACATTTCTTGCTAGTAGCTTTACAAATAAACCCAATGTATATTTTATATTGATATTGATTCACAATACGATAAGATATGACTTATGTTATGAAATTGTTGTACATTGACCAATGAAAACTACAGCAGATGCCTCATTTTCTATGAACACCAGTCACTGCGACATTTCTGGGTTTTGATTTTCACAAACAGAAATACAATATGCAGTGTGTAAAAGTCTGTCAAAAACTAGATTAAACCTTGCACGTGATACAATGAGTATGATTAGAATGTCCTTAAAGTACTGTTTATTTTACCTGTGGAAGAAGGTTTTAATTGCCAAAAGTTGTTCAATGACATAAACTTATCTTGCAGACACTAACAGTACTTGATATTATATATGAGTGATCATCATTTAGATATGCAGTATAGGTACATGGTCTGTTGAAAACTTGGCTGGTCGTAATAGTGGACAAGAAGCCTGTTAAATAAACAAAAATTAGACTGTAAGACTAGTAAGGAAGAACATAAGACTGACAATAGAGACATAAGACTGACAAGGGAGAACATAAGACTGACAAGGGAGAACATAAGACTGACAAGGGAGAACATAAGACTGACAAGGAAGAACATAAGACTGACAAAGGAAAACATAAGACTGACAAGAGAGACATGAGACTGACAAGGGAGAACATAAGACTGACAAAGGAGAACATAAAACTGACAAGGGAGAACATAAGACTGACAAAGGAGAACGTAAGACTGGTAAGGGAGAACATAAGACTGACAAGGGAGAACAAGGTAGAACATAAGACTGACAAGAGAGACATAAGACTGACAAGGGAGCAAGGTAGAACATAAGACTGACAAGGGAGAACATAAGACTGACAAGGTAGAACATAAGACTGACAAGGGAGAACATAAGACTGACAAGGGAGAACATAAGACTGGTAAGGGAGAACATAAGACTGACAAGGGAGAACATAAGACTGACAAAGGAGAACATAAGACTGACAATAGAGACATAAGACTGACAAGGGAGAACGTAAGACTGACAAGGGAGAATGTAAGACTGGTAAGGGAGAACATAAGACTGACAAGGGAGAACATAAGACTGACAAGGTAGAACATAAGACTGACAAGGGAGAACATAAGACTGACAAGGGAGAACATAAGACTGACAAGGAAGAACATAAGACTGACAAGGGAGAACATAAGACTGACAAGGAAGAACATAAGACTGACAAGAGAGACATGAGACTGGTAAGGGAGAACACAAGACTGACAAAGGAGAACATAAGACTGGTAAGGAAGAACATAAGACTGACAAGGGAGAACTTAAGACTGACAAAGGAGAACATAAGACTGACAAAGGAGAACATAATGGTTAACATTTTTATCAGCAACATTCCAGCAGTTTTGGAATAATTCTTTTGAATTAAGAGGTTGGAGGCTGTTGAGTCATGCTTTTACCGGGTTAGCTATGAGTGCAATTGTAGTGCAGTGTGTATTATTGGGCTATTTTGTGTGACAATACATGGGGCTAATCATCATACCTTATCTTGCACAACTTTTAGTGTCTGAAAATGTGGTTTAGAATTGGACTGAATGAAGATGTGTACATTTTGACCAATTAAAGAAATGAAACAGTGTGTTGTATGGTAGAAAGCTTCAAGTCTTGGGTTTTGAACATGTTGATGTTTGCACATAGTCAAATTTTTGTTGATATACTTAGTAAATATGAATGCCTTGCACATTTTGTACATTAAGTAGAGTATATTACCTCCATCATGGACAAGATGGTTTTTGTAATTAAGATCAATTGTATTTAATGTGTCTCTTTACAAGTGAGCTTACTGTTGCTTTCTTATCAAATGAGGGCATTTAAAGAATCAATGTAGTTTTTTTTTCACATTGAACGCAAACCACATCAGTGGTGTTGAAGAAGGGTTATTCCCCTTTGACTGTAAGAGGATTTTTTTTATTCAGTGATCTCAATGTTTATTTAATTATTATTGAATCATTTTATATGATAATTATGTCAGCATTTGGATTTGATTTCTTTGTCTCTGTTAACAGTCACTTCCCACTCATTGACAACATCTTTTGTTTTGTGTAGTGTCCATGTCAAACATCATCTGGTTAAACTTTCATCTCTCTTTCTCAAAGCATGGCACTATTATTAACATCCTTTACACTCTGGTCTACATATTGGTACTTTCAGCTTCTTTTTGTTGACCAGATATTGCCATCTGATGTCCAAATTCAAATAATCTTTCATGAACCTGATGGTTTTCCTTGATGTGTTCCAGACCCTCCCAATGTAAGACCTTGGCACCCTTTCAGTGCCAACAAGAATGACTTGTAAAAGTTGAAATAACATATTTTGAAATTGTTGTTAAACAAATAAAATATGAAAGAATGAAATTGTTTATAAGGATCAAATTTACTTAGATATTTATATTGATAAATGTCTTTTTTGAATTGCCAACCCCTTCCATTTATAGCCAAATTTTTTTTAGAAATAATATTTGACCAAAGTGAACACCTTGTAAAGTTCTGTCATATTTGATTGATATGTAAACATATATAATTCAGAGACCTATATAACACTGTGTTATTTATGTCTTTGCTGTAATATTGTATAATATTATATTGTGAGGATTTTACACTATTTCTATATGATTCAATCTGTGGTACACACATCAGTTAATAAACACAATGTATAAGTTCACACTGGTAATTGTTTTGTTTAAATAGATATTCTATCTCAATAGTTATCATAATTAACTATTAATACTACTCAGAGATTGTTTTACCTTTCACCAGTGTGTGATTTGAAGTAATTTGCTGTGAGAAAAATTTAATTCAAACTACATTTTTTCTTTATGAATATTGTCTAATTGTATGTTGATATGATGTGTTTGATGTTCTACACTTCACTATTGTGTGTGTACCGTATTTTATCTGATAAAACAACCCTTACATAAACGGTGATGTATTTTAAAGAAGCCACCATAATGTACAATACAGTTTCCAATATTTTATTCAGTTACCAGTCAGTTCAGTAAGAGAATTAACAAACCATATGATCACACTAACTAAAAGGTAATGATAATATACAGACGATTGTGTGATAATTATTATAACTACGTTGACTTTATTGGTATAAAATCTGATCAGATTGTCGCAAATATTTTTTCAATGTTTCAGTTATAGTAATAACTTCTGAAAATACATTATTTTTATTTTTACCTAACAGTGCACAATTTTGAATAAAAACGACCTACACTACATTTTATATATATCACTACTCATGTTCTGATTCCCATAGTGACTGACCAGTAACACATGGAAATGATACCATGAATATCAGCAAATATTGAAATTAACCCATATTAATCTTAATACCGTAAAAACCCATGTAATGTCCGCACTTTTTTTCACCGAAAATCAATCCAAAAAAGGGGGTGCGGACATTACAGAGATATAGAGGAAATGACACTTTTTTCCTTTCGACAATTCATATCATATCTCCTTGAATTGTGTTCTTAAAAGCCAAGCATACCTGATATTATCGTTCTATGGTTTTTTTCTATGTTTCCTCAACCAAACATGA